AGCAAAAGTCTGAGAATGCGTGCCTACATTGCGATTACCCTTTTGGCCCTGGTGGCAGCGGTCGTGGCCCAAGGTGGCGGTTATGGTCGTGGAGGACGCGGAGGACGGGGAGGACGCGGAGGAGGAGGAGGTGGCGGTTTTGAACTTGGATACGGCGGTGGGGGTGGTGAATACGGACCTGGCGGTCCTGTAGGTTTTGGAGGTCCTGGAGGTCCTGGCGGTCTTAGCGGTCCTGGTGGTCCAGGTGGTCCTGGCGGTCCTGGAGGTTTTGGAGGTCCTGGAGGTCCTGGAGGTCCTGGCGGTCTTAGCGGTCCTGGTGGTCCTGGCGGTCCTGGAGGTTTTGGAGGTCCTGGTGGCTTCAATGGTGGTTACGGTCGCCCAGGTCGCCAAGGTCGCCCGCGTCGCCCACATCACCCACGTCGCCCAAGACCTGTGTTCACCACCACGGAGAATAGTTTGCCTGACAGCACCACCGCCAGCGACGAGAGCTCTTCCAGCGAAAGCGGCTCCACTGATAGCAGCTCCACTGATAGCACCACCGAGACCAGCTCCACTGATAGCACCACCGAGAGCAGCTCCACTGATAGCACCACCGAAAGCAGCTCCACTGATAACAGCGACACCACCACCGATTCAGGATAGATTTAAAGAGCAAATTTGTAGATTTGTAGAGCATTCAAAATGACCAAGAAATAGAAATTCAAAATAAATAAAATATAATTAATTTGGCACATCAAACCACTCTTTTTTTGAAGAGACTTTTTCTCAGATGATTTGTACTGAATGGTTATGATTTTAATTTATATAATTAAATGTGATGACTAGCCAAGATTATTTTACAAATACTTAAGTGGTATTGTAGTGCGCTCTGTCAATCCTAAAAGTATACCCTGTGACAGGATAACTTTGTAACTCTGTATATAAGCCCAGATCCTAACTATCTGATTTATCCCATACTCCAATACTTCTTTCTAACGCCCACTCCTACGAGCCTTTAAAAACTTTCCGATTAGCTCTGATTAGATTCCTCTTTGGCCGTTCTTTTATCTCTTGGCTGCTTAGCTATCAAGTCATGCAGTGCGTATTTTAAGACTTGATTGACTATCAATACGTACAGTTTGCTTAAAAATATTGTGCTCCGTTTCAAATATAATATTACACGTAAATATACGTGTAATTTTCTGGAATTACGTCTGGATTTTGGATGTGGAGAGAGGATAGGATATGAGTATAGTATAATGAATACACTTGACGAACTTCACTCCAGCTACCACGCGAAACTGCGAAGTGCCCACCCTACCATGATCCTTTTGTCCTGCAATTCATAAAGACCAATTCATACCATCGCACTTGGTCATGCATTTTCCAAAATTGGTAATTTTTCTTCTATTACCTTTGCGTCGATATTAATGTGATGCGTCGATAAGTTAATATAAAATGTTTACGCAGATCAGGTTTGAAAACACCACTGCAATAGTAAAGAAATACGCATAGATTGCGTATAGATTGTTGTTTTTTACCTAAGCAGAATACTCACTCCGACCCAAGCAGCTTTTTTTCTCTTTAAAATATATCCCATTTTAGAACTGACCTTAACATTCCATTTCTTACTGTCCTATTATTTAAGGTTCTTAAAAAGAATTTTGTTTATTTAAAAATAACTCAAGATAACTTAACTTCAAGTAGGTAAGAGCAAAAACAAGAAAAAACAAGAAAGGAAAGCTAACTTCGGGCGGAGCCGAGTTGATATACCCTTGCAGAATACTCTGTAAATTATATTCTCCAAAATTATTCATATGATGCATTCTTAATACTCATAAAAAATCCGAACTTCCTAACTTTAACAACAACAAAGTTATGGCATTTCCAATCGTTCAGTTATATGGCAGCTATAGGATATAGTCGGCCGATCCTTATGAAATTTGATAGGTCGGATTGATTGGCCAAATATAAAACCCATAGAAAATCCCAACTTTCTAACTTTACAAACACCAAAGTTATGGCATTTCCGATCAATCAGTTATATGGCAGCTATAGGATATAGTCGGCCGATCCTTATGAAATTTGGTAGGTCGGATTGATTGGCCAAAAATAAAATCCATAGAAAATCCCAACTTCCTAACTTAACAAACACCAAAGTTATGGCATTTCCGATCAATCAGTTATATGGCAGCTATAGGATATAGTCGGCCGATCCTTATGAAATTTGGTGGGTCGGATTGATTGGCCAAATATAAAACCCATAGAAAATCCCAACTTTCTAACTTTACAAACACCAAAGTTATGGCATTTCCGATCAATCAGTTATATGGCAGCTATAGGATATAGTCGGCCGATCCTTATGAAATTTGGTAGGTCGGATTGATTGGCCAAATATAAAACCCATAGAAAATCCCAACTTTCTAACTTTACAAACACCAAAGTTATGGCATTTCCGATCAATCAGTTATATGGCAGCTATAGGATATAGTCGGCCGATCCTTATGAAATTTGGTAGGTCGGATTGATTGGCCAAATATAAAACCCATAGAAAATCCCAACTTCCTAACTTTACAAACACGAAAGTTATGGCATTTCCGATCAATCAGTTATATGGCAGCTATAGGATATAGTCGGCCGATCCCGGCCGTTCCGACTTATATACTGCGTGCAAAGGAAAGAAGGGTGTGTGCAATGTTTCAATTCGATATCTTTAAAACTGAGAGACTAGTTCGCGTAGAAACAGACAGACGGACAGACAGACGGACAGACGGACATACGGACATGGCTATATCAACTCAGGAGGTGATCCTGATCAAGAATATATATACTTTATAGGGTCGGAGATGTCTCCTTCACTGCGTTGCACACTTTTGACCAAAATTATAATACCCTCTGCAAGGGTATAACAAGAAAGAAAAGCTAACTTCGGGCGGAGCCGAAGTTGATATACCCTTGCAGAATACTCTTTAAATTATATTCTCCAAAAATTATTCATATGATGCATTCTTAATACTCATAGAAAATCCCAACTTTTGACTGAAATTATAATACCCTCTGCAAGGATATAAAAATACCTTTGTAAAATAGATGACAGATGTTTTGTATATTTAAAATAAAAAAATAACTGAATCTGCAATCTGGGAATCTGTTGAAAGGAAAAGATTATGTCAGTATGCCAATCTTATCTGCGAGATCTATATGATTTGTATACAATCTTAAAATGTCAGTAAATGTTTCAAAACGCCTAAGGCATCTATATGATATAGTCTTAAAATGTTTATAAAATTAAAACTATTATTCTAAGATTGCTAAAATTTACTATATCTTGGAGTATATGGAAATATTTTAGGAAACGACAAAGTTATAGTTACGAACTGACGGAAGTGGCTAATTCGAATCAACTGATATAACAATGAAGCTAGGTCGATTTTACTCTCAAGCTATATGATATTATTGTCCGATTTCAATAAAAATTAAAACGTAAATCTAAAATATTCAAGAATTACTACATCTTAAAGTATATTTATTTAAATTACTAAACATCGAAGTAATAATTTTTTTTGTCATTTATTTCATATAATTGTTCCGATTGTTCCTATAGGAGCTATATGATACTGTCATTCGATTTTAATAAAATTAAAACCGTAATTCCATAGTATTTAAATATTAACAAATCCTGAAGAACAAAAAAAAACATTAAAACAACAAAGTTATATTTTTAAAAAACAAATTTTTCCGATTGTTCCCATGGGAGCTATAAGATATAGTCGCCCGCTCCGGCTCGTTCCGACTTATATACTACCTGCAATAGAAAGATAAGTTTTGGGAAAGTTTCAAGCAGATAGCTTTAAAACTGAGGGACTAGTTTGCGTAGAAACGGACAGACGGACGGACAGACGGACATGGCTAGATCGACTCTCCTGGTGATGCTGATCAAGAATATATATACTTTATATAACTGACGAAGTAATTATTGGAGCGTGGACTTATTTTATCAGAACCTCCAAAATATATTTAATGTATGTCCACTTTAAAAATAATGTGTTCAATCGTTTAAAAAGCATCAATTTCATTTCAAGGTTCTATGGTTATTCAAAGTCAAATATTTGTTTAGAAAGCCAAACCAGGTTAAAAATTTTGAGTAGTAGCCTTAAAAACTACATATAAATCGTGGACTACAATAATAAATATTTGTGTTTCCGAAAGCCAATTCAATATAAAAATTACCATAACTTCTTTGATGCTCAAAGTATATATGGAGATAAATAAAGATGTTATTACGATATTAAACATACATTTTCAATTCGATAAAAATCAACGGACTACGTCATGCAGCTGTTATAGGAATAATCGAATGATCATGCAAAATCGACATAACTTTCATTGATTTTCATATAGCTCCCATTGGAACAATCGGAAAGCTGACATATAAACGATGGCTAAAGGCAGCGCAAAATCGACATAGCTTCATTGTATTTAGTAATATAGGCATAGAAATCGAAATGTAGTCGATTTGTAATAACTGCTTCCTTTCTTGTTATTGTAGCTATTGGATTCCTCGAGTTCATACGTTGGTTATATTTTAATTTCTTCTATAACACAACTATTTTTCCACTTAACTTTCATCACACTTGCACTCACTGGGGAATGAACGCGACTATGATAGGACTAGCTAGTTTCGTCTGCACGTCACCTCACTCTTACCAGATATTTACGGGGATGAAAGCAGAGCGTCAGCAACTCCTCAATGTTACGATCAGAGAAACTTTTTAGCAATTAAAAGTTGCCAAACTTTATTGGTTTTAACAAAGGTTAAGTTCAGTCGTTAATTTGTAGCAAAAAGGACCCCATATTATTATTTATTAACGATAAAAACACGCAAAGACTGCAATAAGATGGACTCGCTGATGTCAATAACAAACTTTATACGCTATTTGAAAAAAACGTATGCTTCAAGTACATTTTATTTATTATTTATAACGGAATAAGATTTTCGTTAACAGTATTTTCGATCCAGTTTATACTATATAAACATTTGTGTACACACCAAATCCACGGCATCTATCCATTCCAAAGCTGGTGATACCGAACTGAAAGACCCGCTGAATTTGTCCATAGACCAGCTGTGCAGTCAATGGACCCCCCGAATCCCCTTTACATGTGTCGCTGTTCACACTGCTGGCACAAATTTGGGATTTATTAATTGGCCTGTCAAACACTAGCTCGCACATAAAACGATTTAAATTGGTTAAAGTTGCTGTTTGAAGTTTTTCGCTGGTCTCTCTAGTCTCACTAGTTTTACCCCAGCCTGTGACATCAAATGATGTAAAAGTTCTTACTAAAGTCTGATTGACGAGCAGACAGATCGGCCTGATATGGTCTAAAGGAAATATTTCAGTTTAGAAAGTATTTGATGGTTATTAGATTCCTTCATTACCTGAAAAAATAACATTTCGAGCCAGTTTGACCAGACCTATGTCGTTCTGAAATCCATGTATGTCATACGATGGGTGGCGAATCAACCGTTCGATACCAACCTCAAAGCTAGATGGCTTACGACCCATCGATGAACAATCTGGGTTGGTTGACATGTCGTATTCGCCTAGGCGCACCTTACTGTAAACAACAACAAGAATTTAATTTCAATTAAAAACAAGAGAGAACGCTATAGTCGAGTGCCTCGACTATTAGATACCCTTTACTCAGCTAAACAACTTAATATAAATATGCTATTGTAGTGCGCCATCTACCCCAAGACATTGGTACCACGGGCCATGAAAGGCGGAAATGTAGGCGCTAGCCAGGCTTAAGCGTTTAATGGGTTTTTGGGCGTTAGAGTGGGCGTGGTAAACTTTTATTAGGCCAATCGATAGGTATTGACGAAACAAATACATATCAATTAAAATTTTCATAATAGCATCAAAACTGTGGCCACAGCTTGTGGCTTGTGGGCGTCAGAGGGGCGTGGCTCCATTTTGAAACAAACTTGCGCTGCGTAGGAACTCCTAGAATCTACATGCAAAATGCCAATCTTCTAGCTTTTATAGTTTCCGAGATCTCAGCGTTCATACGGACAGACAGACAGACGGACAGACAGACGGACAGACAGACGGCCAGACAGACGGACAGACAGACGGACAGACGGACATGGCTAGATCGACTCGGCTAGTGACCCTGATCAAGAATATATATACTTTATAGGGTCGGAAACGCTTGCTTAGACCTGTTACATACTTTTGCACGAATACAATATACCCTTTTACTCTACGAGTAACGGGTATAAATACAACTCATGCACATACTTAGGCGAATTTTCGAAGCATTGAGCTGCCGTCAGAACAAAACCTGCAATAGATTATTAAAGTTCATAACTAAGTTATACTGAAAAGATGGCGCTCATTTAAGGCACATTGAAAAACAATAAAAAAAAGTACAACAAGGTTAGCTATTTTTTTAAACACCTACTGGAGGTGATGAGAGTTCCGCCACAGATAAATTTAAGGTCTTGGAACAGGATTACCATCCAAGGATTGGCGAACATTTCAGCATCTTGTCCTCCAACCACCCATTTAACCCTGTGCCAAGTCCTTGTTGTTCCGCAATCGGATTCCAGCAAATAGGCGGATCCTTCCTTACAAAGGAACAGACAGGCTAATGCCGCAACTCCTAGTATAAAGCCCTTCATGTTTTATAGAATTCGTTTCAAAGACTGAATAACTGTGTCTAGCGGGGTCTACTTTTATAGGACACCAAATAGTGATAAGAAAGTTGGGTTTTTATACCCTTGCAGAGGGTATTATAATTTTGGTCAAAAGTGTGCAACGCAGTGAAGGAGACATCTCCGACCCTATAAAGTATATATATTCTTGATCAGGATCACCTCCTGAGTTGATATAGCCATGTCCGTCTGTCCGTCTGTCTGTTTCTACGCGAACTAGTCTCTCAGTTTTAAAGATATCGAATTGAAACTTTGCACACAGCCTTCTTTCCTTTGCACGCAGTATATATGTCGGAACGGCCGGGATCGTCCGACTATATCCTATAGCTGCCATATAACTGATTGATCGGAAATGCCATAACTCTGCTGTTTGTTAGGTTAGGAAGTTGGGACTTTCTATGGGTTTTATATTTGGCCAATCAATCCGACGTACCAAATTTCATAAGGATCGGCCGACTATATCTTATAGCTGCCATATAACTGATTGATCGGAAATACCATACTTTGGTGTTTGTGAAGTAAGGAAGTTGGGATTTTCTATGGGTTTTATATTTGGCCTATCAATCCGACCTACCAAATTTCATAAGGATCGGCCGACTATATCCTATAGCTGCCATATAACTGAACGATTGGAAATGCCATAACTTTGGTGTTTTTAAAGTTAGGAAGTTGGGGATTTTTTATGAGTATTAAGAATGCATCATATGAATAATTTTGGAGAATATAATTTACAGAATATTCTGCAAGGGTATATCAACTTCGGCTCCGCCCGAAGTTAGCTTTCCTTTCTTGTTTCAGTATAATTTTATTAGTTTTGGGTTCAAGTTTAGATCACGGGTTTTAATAAAAATTGAGGAAAAAAGACACAGTACGACAAAGTTTCTTATCTACCAAAAAACAAATGGTTAGAGATTTTCAAAATATTTTAAAAAGTTTGAACAGTTATTTAAACGACTGTCGTATTATTATTTTAAGCAAAAGTAAAAATGTATCCAAAAACAAGTGACTGGCGCATTATCTGGATCTCAATCCAATTAAATATGTATAGAACTTAATTTTGTCCAATTCAAATTTTCGTCTCCGAAAAATGATTTTAAACGTTAAGGGGGTCTTCTAGTCTAGAGGCTTGAAAAAGTAAAATAAATTTAAACAAAAACAAAATTGTTTTCATTAAGTTATTCGTTCTTGAAGAAGAGTGGGAAAAAAAAGGCCGTGATTTCTATGCTTGTCGTTATTTGAAAAATAAAACAATGATAGATTCTTAATGAGTACGAATGTCGCTATAACATGGAGCACCCAAAAAAAAAACAAAATTCCTTATGAAATGGCGGCTACTCAAAGAAAAAAGTCGATTTTTTCACTAATTTTTCAATTTTGTCGAATTTTTAAAAATATTATAGTTAAAAATTTTTAATTTTTTGTTGGTTCCGGCAATAGAGATATATTTAAAGAATATTCATGCCAAATTTCAAGTAAATCGACTGATTAGATCTATAGTAGTTTCGAGAAAAACGCGTTTAAAGTTTTACATTAAGTTTCGGACAGCGTAACTGATAGAATATTACGTATAAATTACATTCCCGTAATACTATTTACAATGACCTTCAAACGATTAGTGTAGTATACTGAACATAAGGGTATTGTTATAGTAAGAAGGAGAGAAAGTTATTCATACTAAGGTAGCCCGGGCTTCCAACCATTTATTGTTTCAGTCGTTCGCTCAACCGGTCTAGTCACTAAAACGGCTATAACTTTGAAAATAATTTGAGTTTTGAAAAATCCTTTTAGGGAGATATTTTTGAATATCAAAACTATCAAATTATGAAAAAAAAAATATTTTGATTTTCTCAAATTTCTAGACTTAAGACCCCCTTAAAGAAACGTTAACCTCTTTGAATAAGTCGTGCCATTTTTTTTGCATTTGCATGTGTCTTCCCGTACAGTTATCAGGCGAACAGCTCTATACAATTTCACATTTTTCTTAGCGGGTTTTATAAAACTTAAACTAAAGTTTTAAATTACGATTTTTAAAATTCAGTTAGGTCTGCTTAAAATTCTTGTCGACCTGTGTTATTAAATTTGGTATTTTTAATAAGAGTGTTCACAATGAGCTCTTATCGGAGACCGTAATAGTTCCCCATTTTTTTAATTCTAAATATAATTTTAAATGCTTCTAATATTGTGTTGCAATATTATGTAAATATGTATATTATAAATACATATTGTGTTATTTTGTTGAATAATTTGATGCATTTGCGATAATTCGTATCCATTTCCAGAGGTTAACACAGTTAGAATGCCTGCTTTTTGCCGATTCTTAGTGATAGATTTATTGGTTTAAAAAAACATAATCACCATTTTCAGTCCCTATTTTATTTTTAAAATAACAAAAAAGCAAGTACAATCCAACTCTTCACTTACCTCATTCATTAAATTGTAATATTTCTTTCTATCTTCCCGACGATCCCGCCGAGAGTCACCTTCTACAACTTGGTTTCCATGGGCGAACTACAACGTTCAGGCACCCAAGGCGCTGCCATTACCATTATCTTTATTTTTGGTGGGTCATTTGAATGGAAAAATGTTTAACGATGATGATCAATTTTAATATTTCATAGTGTTCATTATCATTTAAATCGCATGTTTTTAATGCTTTTGTTTTAATGAGTCATATGAATCATAACTCATCCATTCACTATGTATTGTACACGTGATTCGTTAAAATAGTTCAGCTCAGATAAGCTTATACGACCAAAAGGGAAAGGGCAATCCGGTTCAGCTCATCTAACTCATGAAATGTCTCATATAGCCCAGCCCGTCTGTCCGTCCGTCCGCCCGTTTCTACACAAGCTAGCCCCTCAGTTTTTTAACCTATCTAAGTCGGGATAAGCCGGATCTGGGGACTAAGCAATGTGATGCTTCCTCAGCAATAATAGGAAAAACAAGAAGGGAAGCAATTTTAGGCAACCGAAGTTTATATAACCTTGCAGTTATTACAAATCGACTACATTTCGATGCCTATATTCGCGGTTCATTTTGCATCGTTTCTATGGCAGCTATATGATATTGTTGTCCGATTTTGATTTAATTTAAACCGTAATTCAACAATATTTAAATAAAACCAAATCCCAAAGAACAACAAAAAATAATTTAAAACAACAAAGTTATAATTTTTTTGGAATTCTTCTTTCCGATTGTTTCTATGGGAGCTGTATGATATAGTCGCCCGATCCGGCCGTTCCGACTTATATACTACCTGCAATAGAAAGACAACTTTTGGGAAAGTTTTAAGAAGATAGCTTTAAAACTGAGGTACTAGTTTGCGTAGAAACGGACAGACGGACATGGCTAGATCGACTCTGCTGGTGATACTGATTAAGAATATATATACTTTATAGGGTCGGAAATGTCTCCTTCACTGCGTTGTACACTTTTGACCAAAATTATAATACCCTCTGCAAGGGTATAACAAAATTGTTTTTAATAGATGGCAATCCGCACACATATGTTAAGATAGCTAGATAGCCTCGCTTAGGGAAGATCGAGAAAATTGCCATTGAGTGGAAATAAGTCGGAGCGAATAATTAGACTGACCGAAAAACTTTGCCCCAAGAATTCTCCGGCGAAAAGGTCAAATAGTGAACCTAATACACTCACTCATATGCCTGGGAAAACCAACCGGCATCTTTTCGGCATTTAATAGAACTCTTTGGCTATCTGATGCTGCCGAGATTATCTCCGTCATTTCTCATTTAATTTCCTGTGGCCGCATGCCAAAACGACTGTGGGATTATTTTCGTCAGCGGCGATGACAGCCGCACCCTTTGAAGTGTTGCATTTGCATTCCCCAGGCCCCGAGGGGATCCACTTTCGGGTTTCAACAAGTGTGCCAGCCATAAATAATCTCCAGAATAAAGAGCTGGCTGCTTGCTCTTGGCGGCGAGGCTTTTTAGGCCGGGCAAATAAATTTGTGGCATTTGTTAATTAAATTCTACAGCAGAGCGCAGGCAGGCACACATTCGTCTGAGGATTTGCATATGTGAAAAGTTTTCAATAAGAAAATCCGGCAGTCTGAGTGAGTTTTGCCATGGAAAATATGAAAAGTTTTGTGCTTTATTTTGCCAGAAAGTTCTGCCACTGGCTCTGCCGAAACTGAGACTGTTGTTGATTTCATGATCCGAAATTAATATGGCACATACGAAATGCAATAAAATGAAATGGAGCCCCAGAAAGGTTCTCCTAAATGCTCAGCCAATTAATGTCTAGATGGGTCTGTCAAATAATGGGGTATTCCACTGTCCTTGGGAAGCCTAATGTCTTCGACATATTTGAGCTAACTTTGGGCTTGGGGAAATGGGCTGGGGAGCACTTTAAAATTCAGCCTGCCACACAGTTCATTAGGCAGCCAGATCTCTTGCCCCATCGCAAATGCGAGCTCAGGTAGTTTCAGCCGCTTACCTTAGGTTTCGTCTTTTGAAATCGCGAGCACTGACCGGACTATTAACTTAAACGGCAATTCATCAATGTTGGGCCGGCTGAAAGTTGGAAATTTATCGAATGTCCAGCGTCCAGCTGACCGGCTTTCTAGTTGACATTCCACTCGTGTTTTGTTTGAGCTTTAATAACTTTTAAACTTTTTTCGGCTTTCCCTTGTCGGTTCGCCGAGCTTTGATTACTACTTTCTAGCCACGCTGAAGGGGGCAGGGGGTGGTCCCCCCATCTGTCTCACTTTCCCGCCGCCCCACTTTCCCACTTCCCACTCTTCCACTTTCTCCGAGCCCCCTTCTTAAGCGGCGTGTGTTTCCTGATTGTCGCCCGTGACGTTGATGGCCGTTGGTTGTCTGCTGGCCGTGATTTGTGTGCACCCGCGGGCGCCATAAAAAACTGGGCAAAACTTGTTCGCCCAAAAGGAGAAGAGGAGGAGGAAGAACAAAAGCTAGAAGTGGACTTGGCAGCACTCAGAACTT